GTGGCTCAGCAGTTTAGCGCCGCCTTCAGCCCAGGGCATGATCCTGGAGACCCGGGATCGAGTCCCGCATCGGGCTCTCTTGCATGGAGCCTGCTTCTCCCTCTGCCTATGTCTCTGCCTCTGTGTGTGTGTATGTGTATGTGTATGTGTGTGTGTGTGTGTGTGTGTGTGTCTCGTGAATAAATAAATAAAATCTTTAAAAAATAAATAAAAAATAGTATATAAAGACACACTAAAGATATAAAGTTTAATAAATTTGTGTACATTTAATGTAATTTCTTTTTTCCTTACCCCCAAAATTGCCTTTACTATATATATATATATATATATATATATATATATATATATATAAAATAAGTCATAATCACTTGGCATATCTAAACACAATATATTCATGATGTTATACCTATTACTGTATTCAACTTATATTTCAAAGATATGTTTGGATCCAGATATAGTATTCCTCAAAATAACTGATGACTCAGAAAAGGCAATTCATAGTCAACCAACACTTTACCACAAAAGAAAAAGCTCAATCTTTACTCCTATTCAAGTCAGTAATTTGTAAAATACACATACACACGCACTCCAAAAAAAAGTTCATCGAATCAGAGATCACTGGAAACCGAAAGAATGAATAGCGAGCTAAACAGTGACCAAATTAAGATTCAAGAAGCTTTCTAGTTAAGTAGGATAAAGGATCAAAAATAATAAGATAAAATATAATAAATGTAAATTTCTGTTTGAGGTCAAAAAAAAAACTGCAAGAAGGGATAGAAAAGAGAGATAGCCAATCACCTGAGAAAAAGCAGTATTAAAAATCAACATATTCTTGCTTTGTATTATTTAATGTGTGCTTCTTAGTAGTACACATTACTAAACGTATATTGCTTAGAGCAACAGAGCCTCCTTTTTGTCTTTACTTATGAGACTACTAAAGTTAGTCCTGAGCACCATCCTCAAAGGGAAGAATTAACAAACTGACTTTCACTAAAAGAAGATGATTAAGATTTTCATTTATTTAACACATGTATATAGCATTTACTCTTTCATGGGCCATCTAAGCAAGCACTTTATAAACCATGCCACAGGAGGAATGGATACAGAAGTTAAGACTGTTTAACCTAACAATAAGAATGTGATAGCTCTTGTCAAATATCTAAAGGGCTATCATGTGGATGAGGTGGCCCAGTTATTTGTGCCATCACATAAAAAAAGAAAGAACAAACAAGAGTGAGAGATTTGGGCTCTACAGAAAAACTCTGAAAGTTGTCCAATGGCAAAATAAGGCTATTATAAGGACTAAATGAGAAAAAACATATTTAAGAATCTTGTTGTAAATTACATTACACATTAATAGAATCTACTTCTGTGCAGTATAGTGGGTCCTGATCAACCGAAATATTTACAGAGGCTGACCATGGACTTTGGAGTACCAGCTCTTAGTTCAGCTCCTACCTTCACAATTTATACCAAGTATGAAACTTTAGCAAAGTTTCCTTGCATCTCTAGGTTTCACTTACCTCACCTTTAAAAGAAGGACAAAACAATCTGCTATGCATGGTCATTGTGAGAATTAAATGTGATAATATAGGTAGCATTTAGCATAGTGCTGACACACTCAGTAAATTGTATTCATGATGATGGTGGTCATCATCATGATGCTGTAGAAGGAATCTCTCTGATGAATATACAACTAACTATATGGTATGATGTGCTATGACTGTATGGTTCTGCTATGCACCTGTATGAGTGTATGAATCTGCTATGCACTTATCATGTTATAACAATCCAGATATAATAGCTTGTATTTAAATGTCTGGTGACTTAAAAAGCATTTATCTTTTGTAATGTGAAGGAAAAAATATTCTTAAAATCTAAATAAAGTATCCAGGTTAGTAAAATATGAGAAATAAAAGTAATGTAATGTAATGGAGAAATTATGTGGCCACAGGGGGAAAAAAGGGGAGTAAAGAAGTAGCACATTAAATATAAGCTACTCTTCCTAAGAGACTCCACTTCAGGAGATGAAAATATATAACGCAGGAGAAAACCAATTACGCTTTCCTTTTTTCTTTTTTTTTTTTTTTTAAATTTTCACCTATGATAGTCACAGAGAGAGAGAGGCAGAGACACAGGCAGAGGGAGAAGCAGGCTCCATGCACCTGAAGCCCGACGTGGGATTCGATCCCTGGTCCCCAGGATCGCACCCCGGGCCAAAGGCAGGCGCCAAACCGCTGCGCCACCCAGGGATCCCCCAATTACGCTTTCCAAAGGTACGTGAACCACTGGTTATAATCATCAGAAATACCAACAATACAAGGGCAGCTAAGTACAATGCAAACACTTGGTATATCAAGGCAATTTAAAAAGTGAAGTCAAGTGGACGAAGGACAAGAGCGTAAGAGATTTCGGATTCTAATTACTTTGAACAGAATTTGTATTTTAACAAATCAATTTCTAAATGCTGGATTACAGAATATGGAAGCCCAATAACCCTATAATTTAGTATTTTCCGTGACGAACCAAGAAGATCAATTGTAACATACTATACTATCATACTTTGTCAGTCATATTCGTCCATCTCTTCTTTCAAAGGAAATTAATGCTCGAAAAGAAACTTTAATCTGTTTTCAGGGATATTTCAAGGTAAATATTTTAAATTTATACACACACACACACACACACACACACACACACACACACACACACCTACTCTGAAGGCCAAGTCCGAAAAACTTCCTAATTAAGTGATGAATAACCTGAAGCTATAACATATCTCCTATAAAAGCTGTTTCTCAAAGGGTTAGTATATAATTACCACCAACAAACAATATTATGCTTGTTGCAACAACAGTAAAATGATTAAGTAAATGTAGGAATGAAAAACTGGGTGCAGCTTTCAGGTATTTTTTGAGGATCTGAATCCTGATAAATGCCAGTGATATTATTACAGTATTATAAATTCAGATACAAGTGTCGTTGTTAGAGAATTATACAACCAATAGAAATCTTATTCTTTTTTTTTTTTAATCTCAATTTTCGCCCTTATTTTAGATAAGAAACCCAAAGTCCAATGGAATTAAGGGAGCTTATTCCTCAAGCAAGCATTTCGTTAATGTGTTATGTGTTATTTTGAACAGAGTTGAGCATATTCTAATTAAATGTGTACCATAGTCATGTTCATTTAAAAGCATAGTTATCAACAATATTTGTCAACTACCCAATTTAAAATGGCTTATTAGATGCTGAAAACATCAGGGTTCACATTCATTTTCATTAATAAATGTCCTGGTGGGGCAGCCCAGGTGGCTCAGCGATGAGCATCTGCCTTCCTCCCACGGCCTGGTCCTGGGGACCCCAGATCGAGTCCCACGTCGGGCTCCCTGCATGGAGCCTGCTTCTCTCTCTCTCTCTGTCTCATGAATAAATAAATAAAATATTTAAAAAAAACAAATAAATAAATAAATAAATAATAAATAAATGTCCTGTTGCTTAGAAGTCAACTTAATCACGTTGTTTGTAAAACTAAAGGAACAAAAAATTCAGCTCCCGAGTTACGGCAGAAAGTAGAAATACAGCCCTTGAATAATAAATGGTACTCTATTTTGTCATATCGGCTATGATGAAGTCACTACGAAAAATCATAGTACGGTTCTTAGTCACAGCCGTGTCAAGGTGAAACATTATTATCAGCAATTACGAAAAACACACAAAACGCTCAACACTGTACTCCAACAAAATTTCAGCAGCTTGCTCCAGTATCAGATGCCCATCAACTTCTACAGTGTGGCTTAGTTCCATACAAATGGTCTACACTTTGCATTTAAGAGGGAAATCAGTTCGATACAAAGTGTCTACACATTACCTTTAAGATGGAGTCAAGTTCGGTACCAAGTGTCTACACTTTGCCTTCAAGATGGAATCCAGATTGATACAAAGTGTCTGCACTTTACCTTTAAGATGGAGTCAAGTTCGATACAAAGTGTTTACACTTTGCATTTAAGATGGAATCAAGTTCTACAGAGTGTCTACACTTTGCCTTTAAGGTGGAATCCAGCTCGATACAGAGTGTCTACACTTTGCCTTTAAGGTGGAATCCAGCTCGATACAGAGTGTCTACACCTTGCCTTTAGGATGGAATCCAGCTCGATCCCGAGCGTCTACACCTTGCCTTTAGGATGGAATCCAGCTCGATACCGAGCGTCTACACCTTGCCTTTAGGATGGAATCCAGCTCGATCCCGAGTGTCTACACCTTGCCTTTAGGATGGAATCCAGCTCGATACAGAGCGTCTACACCTTTTTAGGATGGAATCCAGCTCGATCCCGAGTGTCTACACCTTGCCTTTAGGATGGAATCCAGCTCGATACAGAGTGTCTACACCTTGCCTTTAGGATGGAATCCAGCTCGATCCCGAGCGTCTACACCTTGCCTTTAGGATGGAATCCAGCTCGATCCCGAGTGTCTACACCTTGCCTTTAGGATGGAATCCAGCTCGATCCCGAGCGTCTACACCTTGCCTTTAGGATGGAATCCAGCTCGATCCCGAGCGTCTACACCTTGCCTTTAGGATGGAATCCAGCTCGATCCCGAGTGTCTACACTTTGCATTCCATCAGACACTTTGTATCGAACTAAGTTTCATGGAAGCGGCGGGCGGGCGGGGGGGCGGGGGGAGGATAAAAAGAGCAAGCAAGCGAGCGAGAAGCAGACAACCCGATGGCGGGTGGAAGTGAGCGGCCGTGCCCGCCGGGCCGGGGCCGGGCACTGAAGGGAGGTGGGCCCTTTCCGGTGCCCGGGCGGGAGCGCGGAGCCGCCGCGTCCCGTAAACAAAGGAGGGGCCGCGGGTCAGTGCCCGGGCGGCCCGCGAGGCCCCCCGGGGCGGCCGCGGGGGTCGGGCGGGGGCCCGGGGCGGGGCGGGGCCGGGGGCGGGCGGGGCCCGGGGGCGGGGCGGGGGCCCGGGGGGCGGGGCGGGGGCCGGGCGGCGCGCGCGCTCACCGTGGTCGTCCTTCTGGCCGATGCCGTGCGTGCGGATGAGCGACGACAGCCTCCGCACGTCCCCCTTGAAGACGCTCTCGTGCACCGGGAAGCGCGCGGGGCCGGGGCCTCCGTCGGCGGCGGCGGGCGGCGCGGGGACGGGGGGGCCGGGCGCGGGCGCGGGCGCGGGCGCGGGCGCGGGCGCCGGCGCGGGCTTGGCGGGCTTGGCGGGCTTGGCGGGCAGCCGGTGGTGGTTGCTGAAGACCCGGGGGCCGGGCCTGCCGCCCTTGCCGCCGCCGGTCCTGCCGCCCGGGAAGGCGCCGCCGAGGGCCGCCGCCGCCTCGTCGTCCCCGGGCTCCAGCAGGTCGCCGTCGTCCTTGCTGGGCTTGCGGTCCCTCCGCAGCGAGCGGATCTTCTCCCCGGTCATCGCCGCCGCGGGCGCGGGGGGGCGCGGGGGGGCTCCCGGCGCGCGGCGGAGCAGGCGCTGCGGCGGCGCGGCGCGATCAGAGCGGCGGCCGGGGGCCCGCGGCGCAGCATGAACCCTCCGGGCGCCCGCGAGCCCGGGGCAGGCGCATGTCCCGGCGGAGGCACCGAGGGCCGCGCGCTCGCCGCGGAGGGGGCTGGGGCTCGGGGGCCGCGACGCCGCCGCCGCCGCCGCCGCCGCCGCCTCCGCCTCACAGCGCGGAGCAGGGCACGGCCATCTTGCTCCGGCTCGTCTCGCGAGAGCTCCCGCGGGAGGAGGGAGGAAACGCCGCGAGACGTGAGCGGCCGGCTCCCGCCCCGGGCCCCGGCTCCCGCGGCGCCTCCCCGGCCGCGTGTTTCCGCCCCGCGCTCGGCCCGGATCGCGCCCCGCCCGCAGCTCGGGAGCCTCCGGCCGGGCCCGCGCCCCCGCGACGCGCGGCCTGCACGGCCAGCTGCCCCGCGCCGCCTCGGCCCCCCGCAGGGCGGGAGACGCCGCACGCCGGGGCCCGGCACCGGGAGTCCTTGGCCTTGCAGCGGCCGGGCCCGGAGAGTCGCCGCGGGGATGCGCGGGGATGCCCGGGGCCGCGGGTTAGCGCCGCCCGCAGCCCAGGGCGTGACCCCGGGACCCGGGATGCCGTCCCGCGTCGGGCTCCCCGCACGGATCGGCTCCTCCCTCTCTCTCTGTCTCTCTCTTTCTCATGAATAAATAAAAATAATTTTTTTTTTTTTGAAAAAAAGTGAAAAGGAGAGTCCCCACGGTCTGCGGGCTGCTCCGGCCCCGGCGAGAAGGCAGCTCGCTCACATGGTGGCACCTAGGTCACTTGCAGGCAGGTGTCCCCCCCCCCCCCCCCGCGACCGCCCCTGCGGAGGGCAGAGCACCACCGCGCCCCGGGATGCCCCGGGATGCCCCCGGATGCCCAAGGTCACGTCTAACATCCCCGAACAGCCAGCGTGGGGAGCCACAAGGGAAGAGAGCCAGGAAAATAACCCCAAGGTCGAGCTTCGCCCCTTTCATCTCCAAAGCCGCATTTTACACGGACAGGAGCTTTTCTCAAGTCTCTTCTTCCTGAGGCCTTATTGCGGCCTCCATTGCCCTGCAAATAAGTAAGGGTCGCGGGGGGTGGGGGGGGGACCGGCCTGCATCCTGCCTGCAGCCCTCCCGGCCACTCCGGTTTCACCTCCCGCGTTCTTTCACATCTAGTCAAATAAAACTGTTTTTGCCCTTTTCTTTTTTCTTTTCTTTCTTTCCTTCTTTCTTTCTTTCTTTCTTCTTTCTTTTCTTTCTTTCTTTTCTTTCTTTCTTTCCTTCTTTCTCTCTGTTTCAATTAAGTTCAAGCATTGCCTAATCACCTCGAAGGATGCTCCTAGGAAAGCAAGAGAGGCCCAACATACACATACAGAAACCTCTTCCTCGTTGACCCCAAGGCTAGCAGCATGCTTGGCACTGGACCTGCTGTTATCTCCACGTGAGATTATTTTTAAGCCTCACCCGACGGTTGGAAAAACCAGCCCAGGCCGGTGCTTCAAAGCTGGAATGTAACACGACCCAGCCTGATGGCAGGGCTAGAGAGATAGCAAAGGGCCCGGTCGCGAAGGACTCTGTATGTCTTCTCCAAAGTTTGGACTTTATCCCAAAAGAAATGGTTGGCCTTTGGGGCGTGTTCAATAGGGGAATGGCAACGTGAGATTTGCCTTTTAGAAAAGTCACTCATTCACTCAGACTTTAGAAAAAGTATGTATGAAGAATAAATTACAGCGGGGCTGTTCTGGAGACAAGGAAACTCACAGACTATTGCAGTCATCCAAAAATAAGTGTGTCACTGAGGGGGGCACCTGCCGGGGCGATCACAGGGTATTATACTGCATGTTGGCAGATCGGACTCCAATAAAAAAAATATACAAAAATAAAATTTTAAAAATGTGTTAGTATATGCGTGTCAAACTGGCAAAACATACTTTACACAGAGTGAACAGTCGTTCTCCTTGGAAGACGAGATTGCTAAATCATGTATTTCTTACATTGCTTGAATATTTTTTACAAAGAAAAAGTACGCATTTTTATTAATCAGAAAAAAATCGTTTTTTAAAGAAATATGCAATGATTCAGATGATGAGAAATTAAGAGAGCGTCAGCCTAGTTAGAGTGATGCCACAGCAGGTGTTAAGAGTTAAAAAAAAAAAGTTCCAATTTAGGCATATCGAATTGAAGCTTCTTTTTGCTCACTCAGAAGCAGTTAAAGGACATACATTTTGTATATTTTGAAATGACCCTAGAAGGCAGAGGTCTGGGTTAAGATTCAGGAGTTGTCACTAGACGGTAATTTATGACCACAGACGTCTTTGAGTTCCCCAGGGAAGAGTAAATAGTGTGAGAAATTAAGGTCCAGTCCAGAATAAAACACCAATATATAAAGGCTGTATATAAAAAGAGTGGCCAGGATCCTGTTCTGATTAAAACCTACACCAAATAGTCTACCCATTACCTGAGAAGTATCTTATCACTGGATCCAGAATTTAAAAGTACTTTCCCTAGTAAAATCCAACATTGCAGACACCAAAAAGTAATATTCAGCCCTTATTTTTAGGGTTCAACAATATAATTAGTGAAAAATGATATAGAAATAGAAAGTTGTGGGCACTTGGGTGGCTCAGTTGGTTAAGCAGCTTGCCTTCAGCTCAGGTCATGATCCCGGGGTCCTTAGGATTGAGCTTCCTCTCCTTCCATTGCTCCCCATGCTTGTGCTCTCTCACTCTTTTTCAAATAAATAAAGAATCTTAAAAAAAAAATATATATATATATATATATATATATATGATCTCAATACATCGTGAAAAATTCAAGAATTGAAATTGTATGAGACCCTGACATCATACAGAGGAGGAAGTCATTAATTCTATCTGGAGGAAATGGAAGTCAGGTGATCAGGAAGTGTTTCTGGAGGGTAATTGTCTGAATTGGGCTTTCAGGAATGTACGAAGTTGGCTAGTTGGGCACAGGGAAAAAGGTAATAATAATAATCCCAATAATACTAACTGTCATTTACTGAGAGCTTACCATGCGTCAGGCGTTGCTTCAAGTCAGTTTCAATGCCTATTTAATCTCACGACGCTATGAGGTACCTACTGTCCCCATTATACAGATGAAGCAACTGAGGCCCAGGAAGTGGTCATCCAGCTGATGAGCAGAAGTCAAAAGAATGGTATGCACAAATGCAGCAGTGTATTTGCGAATCCTTGGAGCACAGTGTGTGACAGAGAAAGTGGGGCTAACTAAGACTAGGGAGGAAAGCTGGGGCTGCATCCTGAAGAGCCACTGCAAGCCCCTAGGACTGGACGTGCTAGGCGGTGGAGAGTTGGCGAAGGATTGCAAACACAGTCAAGACAGGATCACATTTAATCACCGTAATGTATAATCAACACACATTCCCAAGACGGGAGACTCTGCCAAACTTCCCGGCGTCGCCTCCTACCGCGTTGCCAAACTCATTCCTCATTCTAACCAAAACAATCTGCTGACAGTCCCTGATTCTCTGTCATGTTTCCATGCCTGTGCACATGATCTGCCATATGTCCCAAGCCCGTTTCTTCTTCCGTCACCTACGTACCTCCTTCGGCCCGTCAAAATTAGCTTCAATTCTCTCTCGTCTCAGCACAGGCTTTCTTTTCTTTTCCTCTTTTTAACTTGGCATAGAATTCAGGGGTCCAAGGAAAATTGGAAAGGAAATTACCTTGAACCAAACCTCTAAATAAACGTTAGCACGTCTTTCTATTATGAATGTAGGTCATGAACCACAAAAGTCTTGGCGGTTCTTGTGACTTTGCAACACAAGAAAACACAGCTACTCCTGTATCACATTATAGTTGCCATAGATATCTCAAAATGTTATTTACACTCATCACTACCTCAACCTTGAATGTTAATAATTATGTCCACTACTGGATCTTACTCCTTAATGAGTTAGTAAAGAAGCACATATCATTACTGTAGTAAATTTTTGTTTTTAAAAGTTTCTTAATAGCTGTTCCTTTGCAATCCAAGGTATTATTTATGCATTTAAAAATATCATTCTGAAAATGGGCCCCTGGGCTTCCCCAGACTGCCAAGGAGGTCCGCAGCACAAAAACAAAAGTTAGTACAAACTTCCAGTTATAAAATAAAAAAGTCACAAAGACGCATAGTACAGCATGGGCATATGGTCAAAACTATTATAACAATGTTGGATGACAAAGGGTGGCTCCCCTTACTACGGTGAGCACACAATAATGTGTGGGACTGTTGAATCGCTATGTTGTGCGCCTGAAATTAATACAGCATTGCATGCCATCTCTACTCCAATAATAAAAAAAAATTTTTTAAGTAACTCCTTTTTAGGAGTCTTTAATGACACCCTCTCTCTCCTTCTCTCCTATCCAGCACCCCACCATTTCTGAATTAGGTGTCCCTCCATTGCTTGCTTTCTAATTTCCCATTTTAGCTTTTGCATGCCTCTCTGATATATCTTGTCTGCTTTGTCAGCCAGTCCTCTGAGCTCTCTGAATACTAGAACTATGTTCATCATAGCTCTGTGCACAGTGCCTTTCAGTTAAAGAATGAATGCTTAATAATTAAAAGCTGTTGAACTAATCAATCAATTAGAATGTAAACCCCAAAGTGTCTAAAATATGCCAGGGCAATTGTAAACTAAATGATGAGATGCTAAATAAACAAATAATCCCAATGTGACTCCACCGAAGTTGACTACTACTCTCTTAGGTTCTTATGGGAGACCCAAGAGTAAATATTTCATTTTGGATTGTTTTTCATTTACAAATAACAATAAATTCAGTTGAAACAGGCTTAAATCAAATGGATTTATTGATTTACATAATAGAAAGGGGCAGAGATACGTCTTCAAGAACGGCCTGGTCTAAACCACATGTCAGTTTCTAGGTGACTCAAGGTGTTTGGAGGATGGTCCAGAGGCGGCTTCCACGGGGAACAAGACAGCTGCCAGCAGTAACGGGAGCCAGGTGCTCCCTCCTTCAGGTCCAGAGGGAGGGCCCACA